ATCATATGATTATTTTGAAAAGGAGCCAGGTTAAATATTATTCATTCGGAAATAATGCAATTTTGATGGGCAATTTGGTGAGCATGTTTATTTGTAATTGGACTCAAGTGCACGTATATATCAAATGATATACATGATTTTAAAATAATCATATATTCCATTAATGTTGAATCAACTTTATGTTGCTGCTTACATGATTCGAGTGGATGTTCAGCCACTTCAAGCAGTATTTTCACTATATACGTTTCAAACTATCATGCCATTACAGATTACATCATATAGTATTGTGTTATTTGAACATCTGAATAATAGTACAATAACGTCATTTCGAAGGGCAATATAGTGAAATATTTGACCGAGGTTCGGCCCTCGGTCAAATATTTTTCCGGCCCTCGGTCCAATATTTCACTATATTGCCCGCAGAAATTACGTTATTAGTATTATTACCACCGTAATTGACCAGGACTGAAACAGCAAGAAAATCTTACGCACTGAACGATATCTAATTTCCCGGGGAAAATTGCCGGTCATTAAATGCATTCTCAACCGGCTATATTGACCGCCACTATGACGTCACATATTGCTCAGGTCGATATAGTAAAGTGAATGCCTTCTAAACTAGCACTAAAACCCCTAGAACTGGCCCGGCAAAGTGGTAATAATATCCAACAGTTTATGTTTTAAATTTATCTTGGTGTTAATTTGTTTTGCAAGCATTTTATTAAATTATAATATTATCATTGCACGTATACGTTCGTATTGTTAGGTCATATCGTGCGATATATAGTTTATTATTACGTATGTTAAATGTATCGTTGAATTATGTTACGCTCTATCGAATGTATTATTTTATCGTGTATATGTCACGTAATATCAAAATATATATTTCATTTTGCACAGTCTGTTTCGATACTTCAACATTCTGATACGCCTATACCTGCCAATTAGAGCCTCCAACTTTATGGTCCTGAAATGAAGACTAATCAGTGCATTAAAATAAATCACATCTTATTCAAATCTAATTTTGACAGTGTATAGTTATGCTGATGCTTATTTGTCAATATTTAAAGTCAATTGTCACGGCAGAAGTCAAAAAGTTGGTTTTGTGGCAAAACTTGTAGGATGTGTGGTCAGTGTTGGATTTATGGTTTTGCACTTACAATAAAAAGCAATTAGTAGATTTCCGGGATTGAAAGAGTTGCTCCTCCTTCTGTATTTTCACAAAACTCTGGGAATTATACATTTTATTTTTCAAATGAATTCTTTTATCCTGATGATCAACGATTTTTCTGAAAGCCTTCGCTTTGAGACTGGCATTGTTACATCATTGTGACATTCATTTTAAGGAAAGGAATGCGAATAACCGGAAGATCATTTGATACATTGATTCTGATTGGTTGAAAAATGCATTTGGTGTAATGATCCACAACTGGACATTACTCAAGGTACAAATATCCAGTGATTAAATGAAGAGAATTCACCCCGTGCTCGAAAGCTGAGAGAAATCATTCATTTTCTGTTTTAAAACTCACGTGTTGATAACTTGATACATTATAAAGCCGATAAAAAGTGCAACCCAATCAATTAGACTCGTAAAACGGAAAATGAAATCAATCGTCAAATTGTGGGGTCCATGGGCCGTTTTAAACTGGCTTTTAACGTCATTTCAATTTTTCTTTAAAAAGCAACAAATCGACTTGTATGTAACTGTAAAGAACAAAGCTTATGGTTATCAACACCACATTCAAATGGTGGTGAAATCTATTTGACATTTCGACATAGGACAAGCAGCAAACGTTTCAGGTTGTCAACATCCACCGTGGAACAGCTCCACCTTAACATATGCGATGAACTATTTCGTCTGGGAAATAAATTCCACGTTGAAATGTTCTGTACACTTGTTCTAAGGAATACTTAGCACGAACCCTATTTGGCTCTTTGTTCACAAAAAATGAATGTAGATTCGGTACCAAATGATATGCTACGTACAGTATGTAATGTACATACGCTGGCTTTTTGTTGTCAAAAAGGGTCCCATATTTCAAGGTCAAATTCATTGCCTTTTATGAACTAATTCAACTCCTGAGATAACGATGCCAAAGTACTATTGAAGGCACCCGTTACGCTTCTTTGATATCTAAAAAATATGATGAAAAGAAGTCATTCAGTATCAACATTTGTTAGCGCTTGGTTGGTACTTGACTTTTGCCTGTTTGTGTTTATGGAATTCTCAAAGTCAGGCCAATTGAATTCACTTTTTAGACTTATCGTTGTTATATCTCAAATATCGGCTACTTTGTCTGTGATCTCGCCTAAGGAGATACTCTCATATCAATTTTATTATCTCTTTTATCGCCCACAAAAGAAGCCTTAATTTTTCACACAAAGTTGGGTTTTGATTTTAGTTGTATAAACAATTTGAAGTATTTTCATATGTCTTTGCTATGAGTTGGTTCTTACATTAATAGATACAGATACCGAACCTTTGATGTAAAAATGGACTGATGTAAAAGCTATGTATAAACTAGCATCTACATCAGTATGATGAAGAAATGGTATATTATAAAATATAAAACCATATGATGTATGGTGCCGTAAGTGGTTTGGGACCCACTTTTTAATGGCAATCAGTTAATCACATTTTAGTCCATAATTCCCACAAAGCGTTCATTTTAATCATTGCCCAAATCGAATGTTGGGATTGATTTGCATCCTTTGGTCAATTTAGGATATGAGATTGAAACATACAGTATGGTTTTAGGTATCTTGTTTTTCATCGCAGAGCTGATTTCTCCAGACATATTGTATCTAATAACATTACCAGGTCACTAATTGGAGCATTGATATCTACTAATGCTAATCATGAAATAAAAGCGATTGAAACGACCGGCTTCACACACAGCGCCTGCCATAAAGATGGCGGGACATGGGTAATAGAGATAGGGTGATGGGTAGTTTGGGATGCTTTGAGTTACTTTCTCCACCTACTTTGCGCCACACAGCTTGATTCAATGACATCACGTCGTATGTGGGTAGATGGATCTAAGTCTAAGTGAAACAAGTTGAGACCTGTCCCTTGAAACTGCAGATAAATGAACTAATCACTCTACCCTCGGGAGGCCTTTCACGACAAAATTCACCCCGAGTCAAACATCTGTTTCAAACTTAACTTTTTCGCTTTTTATTTGAAATATTACAAATATATGAGAAGATAGATAAATACCAGCTCTTTTAATTGCGAATATTTTTGTTACGAAAATATGAGAAATAGTTAGTTAAAATCAATCCTTTTTAACGCTGAAAATATCATAATCGTCTCAAATGTATCTTTCGTTGTTTTTAATTGGATTTTGTATGTGGGAGAATATAGTGCTTTGTAGTGATTTTCGTTTTATATAATCTGATCGGATAGGCTAGATAAAAATATTGAGGTCACTGTCCAGATATGCTTCGTTGAACAATTCGAAAGACTGTAGGACTAGGATCATGTCCTAAATTCAACCTTGTTGTGAGATTAAAGAATGTATGTTTGCTATGTACCAGTACCTTCCATTAGTATAAAGATAAAATGTGCGTTGTGGGTTATCACTGAACCATAACCTTTTCAATGTTCCGTATGTGCAAATTCATAATTATTCGTAGTTTAATATAAAACTAAGATTATTACCACCTTGTCGGGCTAGTTCTAGGGGTTTTAGTGCTAGTTTAGAAGGCGTTTATTTTACTATATCGACCTGAGCAATATGAGACGTGGTAGTGGTGGACAAGAATGCATTTCAGACCGGTCGAGACTCGAGACTGCATTTAACGACCGGCAATTTTCCCCGGGAAACTAGATATCGTTCAGTGCGTAAGATTTTCTTGCTGTTTCAGTCCTGGTCATTAGTTAACGATGGTAATAATACTAATAACGTCATTTCTGCGGGCAATATAGTGAAATATTTCACTATATTGCCCTTTCCACTATATTGCCCTTCGAAATGACGTTATTGTACTATTGTTATAATCTTTCAAATTAAATTACAATGCAAAAGGGTTAAACTATTGAGCAAGCGATTGTAAAAAATCATTTATGTGTAAAATACAATTTGCAAATTGCGAGCACGTTTAACCTTTGGAAATATTAATGACAAAAACACACAAAATTCACTTTTCATTAAACTATTTTTGCCTGAGATAAAAATTGGTGAAACTAGCCTTTGGGTAGGAGAAACTTACCTAGACCTCCGAATACGATCTATTGTTACGCTAAGTTCAGCAATGTTTCAAAAGTATAATTGAACTGTTTGATTGCACTTTTATTTGAGCCTGTAAGTTCTCTCCGAGATCTATATGCTCAAATCACCATTCGCACCCCACATACTAATTCCACATTATTCAACATGCTAGTAGTTCCGCATCGAATGCATGCATATCTGTTGATTTATTAAAAATATATCTAATTATAATTACGATAATTTCAAAATGGGAAATGCACACATTGAGGTAAGGATACATGAGTCATGTAGCGACAAGTTTGATTTCAATATTACCGACAAATAGTGTCAAAAAATTACCTAACAAATTGCTAGAAGCGAAATGGTTGGAAGCAATATAGTCACAATATTATTAGACAACGTTTAAATAATTGTATTGAATTAGTAGGCTACAGTTCATCAAAGTGAGGACAAATGGGCACTCAACATTTAACATGGAGCACTATGTACTATAACTGGCACTAAAATTGAAACGATTGAGGAAACTACATCAACTTCCGACATAAAGCCTTTCTACTCCCGGATACATTCTAGAAATTAAATTCTGATAACTGCTTGCTTAAGATACACTAAACGAGGATAAATTATTGAGCATACTCATTTGATGGTCCATAGTGTTTACCGATGATCCATTTAAGAACTTAAGGATAACACTTGTTAATGATAATAATTTAAGGATAATAGATCAATGATAACGTGATGAATTAATTAATATAACGATCAAAAATCATGAACGCAGAACTATGCACTCATAGAAAAGCCTCTGTGATTCGTTGATTGATGGGAACTTTGAGATGGCAGCCTGACCTCCTATAGCTAATAAACCCACGTGATGATCTTTAGCTGTCAATCGGAGAAGTTTTTCGAAAGTAAGACACAGCGATAATTCAAAACTTTTTTACAAAAGAAGCCTTAACACAATTCTTGGAAAAGTTTGCCAGATGAACGTTTAGATTGTTGGCAAGAACAAGTGACATCCGTAAACAGAGAAACTTACGATATAGGAGGTATATACGAGTATAGTGACATAACAGCCATCTAGACAATACAAAGATGGTACAAGACACTCGGAATAACAACACAACAGACGCCTGAATCCGTTCAAAATATGAACGCAATTATCAATGATGCTGATGAAGTAACAAATAGGGATTTAATCACGCGAACAACACCCTCAAGAAGGGAGACGTCAAATTCACTGTGATATGAAAGTGCAGGGAATACTCGTGGGGCTTTATTTTTACCTGATTTGCCCCACTAACATATTTGGATTATGGTGGTGAGTGATTGTCATAGTAACCAGTTAGTTATATATTTCATGGTGAGCTTTTTGTTTTAAGACACAGTCAAACTTATTTCAATCTGCACTTGTTTAACTTTTTTGTATATTTCTATCTATACCGTGGTAGCTTTTATAAAAACATATTAATGAATTGCATATCTATAAAAATCCTTGGGTCATAAATAATTGTGCTACCCTTGGGGCTTAAGCATTTATATAATACCCTAGTAATGTTACACTAAAACTGTGCGTCAGACGAGACATCTTCCTAACCCCTCCCCGGGTGTAACATCCTTTACAGACAGAATAACTTTCCGGGAGATCCAAACCTGCAAAAATGTTAAAAAGGATAACAGCATACGTGTATATGATGTAAATGAGGTTAAACGGGACTTATATTGATGGCTAAAGTACGAGAGTAATGTCTTACACAGTTTCTTTATCTCTTCTTGACAAGAACATATCAAGAACATGAACGTTTGTGTAAGAAAGACTAGCAATTGCCGAAATTGTTATCTTAAAGAAACGATAGAATAGGACCAGTCTCGTTACATAATAGTATAACACTATTGCACAAAAATGAAAACTTATACTAAACTTTCTACTAACACGAGCGGCGTATTAAATCTAAAGAATACGGTTCAAATCATAATTATCATTTTCACCATGACTACACGTATTTATATTTATGTGGGTTATCTTGAAACTCATGATTTTATAACTCAGTACACCCCTACCCCTTAAGTTGTATTTTGTTGAATTCTCTGTCGTATCGGATTGTTTGGATTCAACAAGCCTCCAGTTCGAGTCTGAGTTATATGTAAATTATCATCTCTTCTTCAGAGCTACGGAATGCACTTGAACAAGAACCGTTCTAGCATTCAAAATTAATTAAGAAATCATGTAGTCTATCATTCACCCATCCTACTTGTTGAAACCAATGCAAATGTAATTCAAAATATGTAGGTTGTGTGTAAATGTAATAGCTGATGCTAGGGTTGTAAAAATCAGTTTACGGTACACCGTTTCAGTTTTACCTTAATTTGTGTATTACGTCCTGCTCTGACCGCGTTTTAACGAGTTGCCAAATGTGCATTTCATAAGACAGCCCTCTAAGACTGTTAATTTTTATATCCATTTTTAAAATTTTAATTTGATTTTAATTGGATAGTAACTGATTGCTGATTGTCTGAAATTATCTGATCGGTTGATGATTGTCCATCTATAATATTTGACTGGTCGTATGTTTTTCATATTTGAATGCTTGTTAATTGTCTAAATATTATAAATGGTTGGGCAGTTGGGCTGACTGTCTAGATATAATATCTGATTTGTTGCTGATTGTCTATCTATAATATTTGACTGGTACCTGGTCGTATGTTTTTCACATTTGAATGATTGTTAATTGTCTAAATATTAGTTACAGATTGCGTGGATATAATATCTGATTGGTTGTTGATTGTCTATCTATAATATTTGACTGATTCCTGGTCGTATGTTTTCATATTTGAATGCTTGTTTTGTCTAAATATTACATTTAATGGTTTGGCTGATTGTCTAGATATAGTATATGATTAGTTACAGATTGCGTGGATATAATATCTGATTGGTTGCTGATTGTCCAACTATAATATTTGACTGGTTCTGTTTTTCATATTTGAATATTGTTAATTGTCTAAATATTACATTTTATGGTTTGGCTGATTGTCTAGATATAGTATATGATTAGTTACAGATTGCGTGGATATAATATCAGATTGGTTGTTGATTGTCTATCTATAATATTTGACTGGTCGTATGTTTTTCATATTTGAATGCTTGTTAATTGTCTAAATATTATAAATGGTTGGGCAGTTGGGCTGACTGTCTAGATATAATATCTGATTTGTTGCTGATTGTCTATCTATAATATTTGACTGGTACCTGGTCGTATATTTTTCATATTTGAATGGTTGTTAATTGTCTAAATATTACAAATGGTTTGGCTGATTGTCTAGATATAATATTTGATTATTTATAGATTGTGTGCCTGATATGATATAGGGTTCGTTGTTGATTGAGAGAACAAGTGCACCAATAGAAAAGATTACTCGTAAAGGTAGATCATACATGATTTAAAAATAAGTGCCACCAAGGTGGAGTTCCTTTTTATATTAACCCTTATATAGCACAGGATAGATTTGATCCTATATTTCAAATTAACCACGAATAATCTGAATATTTTCATACAATCCCAAACATTTTTATATATCAAATACATGAATATTCTTCAGATCTCCCATGTAAGTCCTCACCTGAACCTGATCCGCGAAACATCTTGTAAACTCCACGCTTAATTGGAGTATCGCTATTTTCACTTGGATTTGGTGTACAGCAACTTGTAAAGCAATAGTTTTGATGTGTTTATACACAATTTGCCCCTTCGCACAACCTTTACTTTAATCTACCACATGCTGCAAATGATGCACTTTTCTGTACAAAATAATATATCCTTTATCTGCATTTATATTGAAGAACTGAGTTACTTAACAGGACATAATTTCAACACTTTCAATTTCAGCAAGGCCAATGTAGCTTGAATAACCAGTGGATCACGAATAGAAATTTCGTAAATCTTCGTGACATTTATTCTGTAATATGATGACATTATCTCCATGATTACAATGGCTAACTTTACGAATGCGTCTGAGAATGTTATTTTTGGTTTAATGGGTTTACTTTTATTCTTGAACACCGAACCCATACACAGACATGTCGATAGATCGTTCCCTTGTGCCCATCTTATTTAGCAAAAATGTGTTTCTAAACTGCTAGATGGCACATCCGGCAAGTTGTAGGTGAACACTAAACACCTTAATGACACAACCGGGCCAGTATATGTACACTGGAGTACATCCACTGGTGAATCCGGTGCGTTGGTAAGTGGAGTGGGGGCCTTCGGTTCAAAGGCATCTAATGCTGTCAGTAAAGACATCCATTTTGCAAGATAGAAAATACATTTCCAATGTACAGAAAACTTTCATGGCATTGAGTGACATAAGACGAACGTATCAGCAAACTTGCTGCTAGATGATGTGATAAAGTCAAGGTATATGCATCCTTTTCTAGTGGGTGGAAAAGTGGTGCTGTACTTCAAACAAATCAAATTCCTATATATAGGAATAATAGTTTCCTTAAAAGGCATCTTTGAGCCTCATATTATTCTTTACAAAGATACTGACATAAGTTTGTTCACTGGTAATATCAATGGGATATATTTTGAACAGGTTATTTTGATATACACAGAAAAAACAGGATTCTTATTGAGAAAGCATTGTATAGTGTAATTAACTTTTTATCATTTCTATGATTGTTATTTTACTAAATTTTCAGGGCAGTTGGGAGTCCCCTGGTTGTCCTAGACCCAAACAGTATATGCAGGAAATCCAAAAGACTAGCAGGAAAACAGCGCGAGATATGCAAAAAGGAACCCGAGATTGTACGAGAAGTTGCAAATGGCGCTAAATTAGCTTTGAAAGAATGCCAATGGCAGTTTCGGAAACGAAGGTGGAACTGCGATACAAAACATCATTTTAGTAGAGTTTTATTAAGAGGTAAATAAGTTGATGTAATGGTATTTTCACCTTTTACCTCGATTATTTGAGATCTAAAGATTTTGTACTCTCATAGTTTATTCTCGTTGTCAATGACAACAATCAAGTCAAACTATGAATTTTAATTATTTTGGAATGTTTGGAGAATGTTAGTGTTTTGGTATTTACAAATGTATATATAGTTTATCTCTTGTGCTTTCTGATATGCAAACAAAACAAATGCCTTTCTGTTGCCATTAGTGTGTCACGTCAGGTAACTATAGGTCTAACTGTCATTCACCCATCTGCATCAATGAGTTGTTGACGAGGGTCAAAGATCTTGCTCTTATGTCTTGCAAATTTCTCTTAACATCGACAGTTAAGCTCTAAGGTCATATATTAAGGATCTGAGAAAGTTGATAAATCAACTATTGGGGCTAGAGGGTTTAGCCTTTCCTCTTTGTAGTGTGCCCGAGGCTTTAACATCTGCACATCTTGCTATATGTTGAAGCTTAGGTTACCCAAAGATACTAGATCATGGCAAAACATAAACAAACACATCAAGAGTTGATTTTTATTGCGGATGTCAGTCCTCATATCGTCATTCTGTTGCTTTAGAAATATCATCAAATCATTATCTCAGTCCAACTAATTTCTTCCAAAAGAAACGAGATTGTACAGAGGCAGGACGTAGAGGTCGACTAGACCTGCATCCAAAAGTTCCTTTATTCGCTCTCCTTCCTTCCTGTATTCAGAGCATGCAAGTGGTGTTTCCTCTACAAATGTAGAGTCATTGAAAAATACTTATTTTTAGTAACGACTGGCACTTTTAAAGTTTAAAATCTATTGAAATTACTCAGAAGAAGAGTTTAAAATGATTTCTGACATTTATGGGCTCTTTTGAAATAAAAGGATACACATGCCAACCCTAACGTAAGAAATTACTAATTTCATAAACCATATACCATTTTATGTTTTAAAACTTTTTCCAGATACGCGAGAAACAGCATTCATCAACGCAGTAACAGCCGCTGGTGTCGTATACACTGTCACACAAGCGTGCAGTATGGGGCACCTTATGCAATGCTCATGTGAAAGCGAATATAGAGACATATCGAAAGACGATAAATGGGTTTGGGGAGGTTGTGGCGATAACGTTAAGTTTGGATATATTAAATCAGCTGAATTTATGGACGCTAGACCGAAAAAGAAAAGAGTTGATTTGAGGACTCTTATTTTACAACATAACAATGAGGCTGGTCGACTGGTAAGTACAGTGAAACCTGCCTACTCAGGACAACACCTGAACTGGCCTAGTGTTCAGAATAGCGGGTGAATACATAGTACTATGATACTTTTAAAGTTTAAAGAGGCCATGGTTGATGCACAAATATAGACAAAAGATGTGATAAACATTGAAAAGAGTTCGAAGTCGATTAGTCGAGAGGTGTTAAAAAAATTACATAAATAACCCATAAAACGTCATAGGATGCGATTACAGCATCCAGCGAGCATTATCAAGTTCCAGAATAGCATAACATATATCATATATCGGGCGGAACAAAGTATTTCTAAAATTAATTATACTTAATTTCATTACACATTTATCGTGAGCTCTCACCATCCTCGTATATAACAGGATCTACAGCCTACAGTCGTACATGCACATTAGTCATTTTAAATAAAGTTTGTAACTGTATTTTAATACATATTAGAGCTGATTTGACAGCGATAGAATTCAATGTATAAAACGATTCTTAACTTACAAAAGTGAATGAAAGTCCTTAATAGGTTTTTGATCGTTAATAATCGAAATTTAAGAGAGGGGTACGCTCATCTCATTAATCACAACGAGCTGAGTATGACAACTCCTTAATTTATATCATTCTCCGATTCAGATATTGAGGCGATAATTGGGCTGCGGTACAAACTTCTGTGAACGTTAAAGACGCGGTTATTGATCGCGTATAAGAATGCCAAGAAGTTAAAATTTTCCCAAACAAATGTTTAAATACGTTTTTTGTCAAGTTCGTTTTCAATGATTACTGTCGAAGTGTTTTTTGCTAGTGAGATATCACATTGAGATTTAGACATAACCCCGGGGTCTGTGAAGAACAACAACAAGATGACATACGTCAAAATATAGAACTATACGAATGTCTGTCAGGAATGCTAATCTAAACAGAATATAAGATATCATTTTATTTTTTAATGTTTCTAGAATAGTTTTTTTCTTGAGATATGAATTACTCGACACGTGGATAATACCCCATTTATCTCAGTCATTAAATGTAAGGTATCAAATTCAGCGTTAATTCCTCCTATGAGAGAATCTGAATCATCATGCTCGTTTATATAAAATACATTATTGTTGTATATCTTGGAATGTCAAAATCGAATTATCAAAATCGATGGTGCGTTGTTCAATAGGTTCCAGACACTTACCGATGATTTGATGATGTAAATAAAATGTTTTTGATGTACAGGTTTTGTGGTCTGAAAGTTTCCCTGTTGGAATGTGGACGTTGGATTGTGGCTGATTTAAGTGATAAATGGTGTTGGAGTCATTAATCAAATCATGTCAACGTCTTTTCTCCCATTGTCGAGGGTAACCGAACCCATCATTGGTGGTGCATTTCAAACTTTGGCCTAAACAGGGGAGGTCCTGTATTCACCGCAGATGCAGCGTCGGAATAAACCACGAGGTTCAAGTCAGTTTTGTCAAATAAAAATGCTGTTTTTGATACTTTAATCCTATCAAATATGTGTCTGCTGAAACTGACACAGCACACCGAATAATTGATAATGAAAATATTTGATTTTTGATCACTGATTTTTACCCTTTTCACATATGGTATAAGGTCATATAAATCTTGTTAGGTATTAGGAAATAAGCATTTTCATCATCTCCTGTCTACCACTTGTTTAGCTTGAAGCTTATCCACATGGCTACCGTTTTCTTTTAGTATCTGTTACACCTTACCTGCCTATCATGCTCTGATAAAGTAAAAAAGAAACGGAAAATGTTATTTTATTTCGCACCAAAATAACTATTTTTCCAAATATACATTTGAGATAGGAAGGTTGTGTTTATGTTCCCTAAAAACCAGAGAGTGTTTCATTATCGCTAGCTGGCCTGGGGAATATTCTGAGGCCCCTTCTGCCGATAGACGTAATAGACGTATGTACTTTCCAATACATTTCTACTTGGTGACTTGCAGTCATGCATCACCTATGATAAATAGTTTAAGAATTTGTGAATTCTTACTGATGTCTTTGTTTAATAGAACTACCTCCGTATCGATTTGACCCTTGTCCTTCGCCTGACTATTAACGTCGTCATCCGGACAAGACAATAATATCTTAACATTACTAACATTCAGCTTTCTCTGTCTGACAGGAGGTAAGTGGGTGAAGATCTTGTGGATTTTTACTCTTTGACCTGTTTATGCGGCAAAAGGTCCCAGTATCTTTGATGCGCAACGAACCTGATGCTCATATTTTCTGTCTGTGTATGGATTTGTCGTCTATTACCGTCATCAGGCGAGAGAGTAATATTTTCTTGACATTTACATTTTTCCGGTGAACATGAGAGAAGTGGATGAAGATACTTAAATACATTTATCTCTTGCTAGAGCCCTGAGCAATATGTACAGATGAGCTAATTGTCTTAATACTAATTACCTATTTAATAGATGATAAATTCAAATCATGACGTCGTCATCAACACGTTTTTATACAATATCTTGCAAATCCCTTTCAGTAGCTTCTCTCCCATTGTTTTATAAACAAATTACATCTTGTTTGGATATGAACAAGATATCGGTAGGCAGCTTTTGAATCATCTTGAAACTTGTCAGAGTATGAATTACTATGTAAACATTCGGTTGCTGAGAATCATGTTTGTTTCTCTACACCCGCTGATGGGTTAAGTAGAGATCTGGTCTAACTTTGCATTTCTGGAAATGATATGGAAACAATTTTATTCAAGTTATAACATTGTGAATTGAATCGTTTATTTATATTTTACTTAATTACTTTAATTATTAAACATTAGTAGAATACATTCAGGATTATTCGTTAGTTTACTGTGGTAACATGAGAAACAATAGATTGGTCAGATTCAGGAATTTTGAAAAAATAAAAACTATACCAGTTCGTGGCTCGAACGCGCCATGCAAGTAGTGCAGCTGTCACTGCTGGCTCTGTGTCTCTGTGTCTCATCTTGTTTAATTTGAGGTATAATGTTCACTTACTCACTATTATAAGTCTACGTACGTCAAATTAGGTGAGGTTCTGTATTCGAAAATACAGTAAAAGCTGTCTGGTCCAAACACCACTGGGAATTGTCCAAAAGTGTTCGAATTGGCAGGTGTTCACATTTCTAGTGTATTTTTTTACCAAGAATGTCTTTGGCGGTTTAAAGAATTGAACTAAAATATGTACATATTGAGAAGTGTTCGGATATACCGTTTTACTGTATGAGCGTGTTATCTAATGTTCACAAACTTAACAAGTGTTGTCATAGATGGCACATTAATCACGATAAAAGTCGAATAACTTAATACATTTCGGATTTATTATTTGTCCAAAATAGATACTATTCTGAGACTTGTTTTTAGTCTATGATATAGTACGACCGGAATAACATTCATCTTTAAACCTATGCCTTATTTCCAAGACAAATATTAACAGAATTGTTTGATCTGGTTAAAGGCCCCATATAAAATATAAACCGCTTTGGCTAATATTATAGTTCTACCCAATGTTGTCAAAATGTGATATGTGAATCTTTTTTATTTCAAAAGTGGTTTTTTAAGGACTTTTGTTCGAAGTTTTGTGAAATTATATATTTTAAAAAGTGATACCTCACACCAATTTATAGCGTTCATCCTTATGTGATTTGGAAAAAATCGAAATTGGTTGACAAGTAAGCGAGAAATGAACTCATCCATGCATGGAGGTGGTTCAGAACAGATAAACATAGAAAATAAAAAAGATTTTCAGTTGATGAGTGACATCACGAATATTTTTGATATGCTATAACATTAAAATAAAAAGTGCACAAAAGAAATGACATTTCATTAAATAGGAATAGTCGTTTTTTAAATTAAATCTCTAAAATAACTTTAAAAGTCATGGAAAATAGTAATGAATGATAAAAGCATATTTCCAAACTTAACACGGGGCCTTTAACTTTAGCAACATAAAAGTTGGATACTTCAACATCTCAATGATAGATATGTGTGTTTTGTCGTTTTCTCCTCTTATTAATCATGCTTATGTTTTAAATTCCAGGCGGTCAAGCAAAACATGAGGAAAGAATGCAAATGCCATGGATTGTCAGGAACGTGTACTTTAAAGACTTGTTGGCGAAAGATGCCCATATTTAGACATGTTGGCAACATAATTAAAAAAGCCTTTGATTCAAGTGCAAAAGTACAAATAACAAACGATGGAAAGAGAATAATACCAGAGAAAGACAGTATAAAAAGGCCAACGAGAGAAGACTTGGTGTATTCTGAAAAATCGCCGTCGTATTGCAATAAAAACCGTAAATATGGTTCACTCGGAACACGTGGACGGGAATGTGACCCCAATCACGAAGGGGTGGGAGGGTGCGGCATATTATGCTGTAATAGAGGTTATACTAAAAACCAGATAACAGTCAGGGAGAATTGCAAATGCAGATTTCACTGGTGCTGTGAGGTTATATGTGAGACTTGTGTCACCAAGAAAACGGTTCATAAATGTAACTAAGCACAGTTTTGAACCAGCTGCAAAATGTGAACCGTCCTCGATTGTTACTCGTTAAGAATAATGCCATAAAATTGCCATACGACTTTTTTCTGATAACACTCAAATTTACGTCAATTTATCAGAAAATATTTACACGCTCCATGCATTGTTTGTACAAATCGAACTACGGTATTGTAGACTGTTGTAGACTGTCGTGCGTTTCGTTACATGCGAAATATTTGTAGTTACAAGATGTGTAGTTCATGAGATTGTGTTATTTATCGATAAATGTACATGTATTTTACAATTTAAGGAATCAAGTTTTTGGTAGATCTGAATATCATATTTTGATCAGAAATGGATAAGTTGTCAAAAGACGAAATAATGGCTCCAGTGACTAAATTGAAGCTGCAGGTTGACGCCATTAGATTTTGTTGCCTGCTTTCGTGGTATCATTTATACCCTGGCCCATAAGTTAAGCAACCAAGAGGAGATAACACTAGTTACCTTGTTAAAGTACACTCCCCTCCATAAGTTTGGCAACCAGGAGGAGATTACACTAGTTACCTTGTTAAAGTACACTCCCCTCCATAAGTTTGGCAACCAGGAGGAAATTACACTAGTTACCTTGTTAAAGTACACTCCCCTCCATAAGTTTGGCAACCAGGATATTACACTAGTTACCTTGTTAAGGTACACTCCCCTCCATAAGTTTGGCAACTCCAAGTCCCCTTTTGGATCACTAATCAAAGCCTTTTTTATATTTGGTGATTTATTTAAAAAAAAATCAAATTTCTCATAAATTACCCAACTATTGAAATTGAGAAACAAAATTAAGGTTCAAATATTTTTAATAGATTTTCATTTTAGTTTAGCAGTACATATCAATTGTACATTTTGACAGTTGTAGCAGAATTACAATATTACGAATAATACATAGAGATTTTACAACGAATATATTGTGATTGAATCTGGATAGTTATATTATGATATTCATTCAATTTCTCCCCGATCCATTCAATCCTGAAACCCACCTACCTCGCTTCGACGAATCACGTCCATCACCCTTAGGCACCCACAGGCCATCAGTTAACAGTTCCCGCGCCATCGCTCATCCAAGGTGATGCGGCGGTGGGTAAATGAGTTGCAAGGATATTAGCCCGTTCAACCTGAAACACTCCATCCCAAATATTTAAACATTGTCAGACTTTAATATGCGATGAAAACTTACCTGTTGCCAAACTTATGACGGAAACGTAGCCTATTGTAATGTTTGTAATATTTAAACATTGTCAGACTTTAATATGCGATGAAAACTTACCTGTTGCCAAACTTATGACGGAAACGTATTGTAATGTTTGTAATATTTAAACATTGTCAGACTTTAATATGCGATGAAAACTTACCTGTTGCCAAACTTATGACGGAAACGTATTGTAATGTTTGTATCTTTTGATTATTTTTTCAAAAATCTCCAAACCAAAACAAGCTTTACATGTGGTCATTAAAAAGAGGAACTTTTGGTTGCCCAAATTTTGGCGGCGAGTGTACATTTTAAACTTTTGAATTTTATCATTAAAATGTGCATTATAAACACAAAAACGCCAATTTAAGTTAATAAAACATAAAATAGTTACTGACGATTCTGCTGTTATAATATGACTCAAATAATGATATTAGAATCACAATTATTTGTCTTAATACGATGATAAAAGTGTTGTATCATTTACAGTTGCCATTCGGAAATGCTACAGCACCCATCGTTATGAAATAAGATGTAATAAACTTTTTGATGTTAAATTTATGATAATATGTATGTTTTGTTCTGTAAGATGGCGTTTCAAGAAGAAAATCATCTTGACAACTTCATTAATAATTTCCAATAATTTCATTTTGCTTACAGAGAGCTTAATCTACCTCATATACCAGGCACTTCCATTCGGGGTAAGATTGCACCATTGAATATCAAATTAAGTAAATGTTACTGCACAAATGTAACTTTAAAATGTTGATAATGAATTTTTTAAAGGACGGGTGTCATTAAGGGCCCTTTTTAGCCCCCAAAGATATCTGATAATAATGCATATCATATTGAAGAAAAATCATTTGTGCTTTATAAAAATACAATTTCAGCGAATTTTGACCTTTGATGTTCACACAACAGTCATTTAAAGATCATATACCATTTTTGGTGTTTTTACAAAAAAATCTTTATTTATTGTTGTCTAAGTAAATAGTATATAAATATTAACCAATATAAATATATTAAAATGTAATATATGAAATACTGAAGAAAAGATACGATTAAAATTATTTTCATGGAAAAGCACATAGGGCAATATTGACAAAATGCAAATGCTATTTTGGTAGGTTCTGGGCTGGCAATGGGTACATTTCAATTGTGACTGTAATGGATTACTATTGACTTTTATCAACATCACAGGGCAACATTTAAGCAACTTAAATACAAGGAAAATCAAAGATTTCCTCTCATTTCTAAAACGAGGAACAAAAGCATGAATTCAAGGAAAATAAATGATGGCCTGTGCCAAAATATATAACATATGAGAAAGTTGTGGCACAGTAAAGGATATGTATAGGATATCATATGATTTTAAATGATTTTATCTTTATCTCGGAGTTGATATCAATATCTTGAAAAGTTAGCATAGCGAATTAGCGCAGATATTGATATCAATGAGTTGGATTAACACAATATCACGAAAATTCATAGGATGTTCTACTTTTCCCATAGTTCACCTCTAAAACTAAACAAAGCATATCAAAACAACATCCATTCATTCATTCATCCCCGTGATGTCATGAAATCAATATGTAACAAAACACATCATATTGGTGGTAGTTTTCAAATCCCTGCCAAAAGGTGATATCTGTGAAATATTTTCCGTATTCCACAGATATCACTTTTTCCACGCATTTGCAAAATATCATAAATATGTTTTCATGTTACCTAACAGAGTGGAACAGAGTTCAACTATGGGATAAAGAATAAAAAATAGGTACATAATTGAATTACCACTCCAAAAATATTAATAAATATGAGGGTTTAAAGAAAGAATATTGAATATGAGATTCAAAAAGACAAGTGGCCTCATGTCTCACATTACCCAAACCCCAGATCCTCGATGTCATATATACTTGTACACTGTATATCAATGTTATTTACTGGGAGGATTGAATATGGAGTGTATAGCAATGGTCAATACGATATTTCCAGATGGATATTTTTTCCCTAGAAGCGGAACCCAAACTCAGTCATGACATAGAAGCTAGCTTTTGCAATTAATAGAAACTTGTTTTTTATTATATTTTTGTGTTCTATATTTGAGATGAAATAATATGAGATTCATTTCTACAAGAGGATGGAACGAATGTGAACTTATATATTGAACTATACTCCTTTTCTGAATAAACAGAACAACAGTTTATCCAAGCCAATTAAGAAAACCAAGGCCAATGAGTGTAATTTATGCCCAGTTAAACTAACACAATAACAACTTTTTGTCTGGACTCACTTATTATGTAAGAATGAATTGTATCACTGTTTACTGCATTAAATGTCAAGTATACTATCTGTATTTAATTTCAAATGCCTATCTCACTTATCGAAGGTATACAAGAAATGTTATTTTGAAACAAATTCAGCACAACCAAAACCATGTCCACATAATATGACAAATCCAAGATGGCTGCCACAATTTTAGATCCATGCACATGTGAAGAAGTTAGAAATACACATGGTCCACAAGTTCCATCCCCAATAAAATGGGAAGTTTAAGGTTTTCACACATATCAACTCTATTCCTATATACTTTATATTTGTGGTAAGGCTTGTGATCTAGGTAAACTTAGCATGTTCATGTACCTCTTATCCTCTGAAGCTAAAAACAGAAATAGTGACTTCAATTGAGAAAAATGAATCTTATGGGCTCCATATACATTTTGAGTGGCTGTCCGGCTAAAGTTAGATACTACTGATAATCTGAGATTGAAAATTATGTCAAGTTTAGTCCTCAGCCTCTCATAACGGATAACTTCGAGGTAATTGTGTTGTTACTGCAAAAACCTCTATTTCTTCATCACAAATCTACCATCTTTTGCATCTGTCAAAACCCTTCATTTCATGTTAATTTTCAGACTTTTGCTTGTGCCATCATTAAATATATATATTCAACTTGTTATTCAGAATATTTTAAGAACTTTTCATGAGTTTTTTTATTTTCACACTTTTGAAAAAATGACTAAGTCAGAGAATGGCCTCTTAATGGCATGTCCCCTTTGCCAGCACGTTTTTTGAAAGTAGACTTCCGAATGCCCCTTATATGAAGGTGAATGTACTTCCAATCTTCAATATAGTAGTGCACTGCCCTCTATATGAACATTAATATTTTTTCTACTTTTTTTATTCGTTTTTTATTCATTGAAAAAAACATTCGAAAGCAGCTACATTAACATATACAATATACATAATATCAAAGGAGTCACACAATTTTCCATCATATTCTATTCTACACTGTCTTGTCTAATCTAATCTAGTACCAATAATTTCCCACCTTTTTTCCCTGCCTATTTGCTTATCAATATTACAATAAGATATTACATTTGCTTTAAATCCTTTAAAAGTAGGTCTTAACATCGAGTATTTGCATAGATACACATATCTTTTAAATATACTCCATATATTTGTCAGGATAATTGTTCTGTCATTTATACACACTGGTCCTATTAATTCAACGTTGATGACTTTAAATCCTTTTCACCATTTGCTTATAATTATTTTCTCTTCTTAATGAAAAACAATTCTCAAAACAACAATTCAAGGACCCACATAAAAAATCCAAAATGTGAATATAGCACAATGGCCAAAATGAAAGGCATGTATCAAAGATATGGCCAAAATGAAAGGCATGTATCAAAGATATGGCCAAAATGAAAGGCATGTATCAAAAGATATGGCCACAATGAAAGGCATGTATCAAAGATATGGCCAAAATGAAAGGCATGTATCAGATACAAACAGAAACTAGTACCCCTGCTCTGAGGTCTATATTACGATTCGAACATGAAAACTCACCAGAATAATGCAAAATCGTCAATTTCGTTGCGGATTTCCAATTTTTTCATTTCTACTTCCAGTTGAGCGTTTGACTGTTCCAATTTGTTTACTTACCTCTTGACCCCGACTGAAGTTTTTTTATTGACATTTCGGCCTGTTTTATTGGTTTCACGCATATCTACTACAGTGATAATTATTGAAATTAATTCTATATTGCCCAGAATCAAAAAGATCACGGCGGATATCCATATAACGGAGTAATCACTGCGAAAAGAACGGAAAAGAACGGAACAGCCTGAACTCCATTGAGTGCACTTAACGAAACACTTAGTACAGAGCTGAGGATTTGATCTCGAATATAACCCAGCTGAAGCATTGACTTTGTTTACAGTTTAATAGAAGGCGTGAATACAGTCATGTTCGAATTTCATTTACAGCATGTTTAAGACGCCACTGTGGAAACGTGATGTCAACCATCAGACCTTTATATTTTATATCTAGATCTTCTACTTTTCAACAGCGCCCTCTATAAAGTAATCCATTGTGTCGTATCAAATATGGATGGGTCAAACTTTGAAAGGTCAACAATCAATTCAAGGTCACATACCTAGGTTGATAGACGTTCAAATAATGAACGCATTGTCCAACATAAAATGAGGCAAATCACTTAAAGTTGTACTTAAACCATTTTACCTGATTTAGAGATATCAATGTTATCTTACCGTACGAAGGTCACACTTTACGATGATGAACCATCAACAATTCCAAAAGTTTATTTTACCCAATGATATCGGGGATATGAAGTCAGCTCGAGACAGATTCTGTCTGTTTTTGCGGCAAAACTGATTTCATTTTCAAAATTTTACGTCACGTGACATGACGCGTGTGGTTGAAACAATTTGCTGCGAAATACGATTTTTATAGATAAAAATGAAACCCTGGATTTCAAAATCGAGTTATTCACTCTTATGTTGACCCAATTATTGCATGATTGAGGCTATTTTCATCAATTTTGCAAAGAATATATGGCATACATTCATGGTTGCGCGGTATTTGTGATACGGGTGAATATGCCATACTTACCTGATATGTCACATTCCGCAGGTGAGTATGCGATATTCCGCAGTGAATATGCGATACATTGATTTCAGTGGTTGCGAGAATCGATTCTAAATGTAAAACTACGCTGGATTACCAATATAGTTAGTGCGTCGGGTACTAATATATGAATCCTGGATTGATTTAGTAAGTTTCATTACGCGAGATTGGTGACTGATACTTCTGCAGAGTTAACATATTCCATACACAGTACTGTTGATTCAGTAATCATTATGATAATTTATAACGTTTAACTTGTTCGTTCAATCGATGCAACTGACATTTGCGTACTTCCGTATCACGTTCTCATTGGTTAGTGTGTATGCCATATACCGCAGGTGAATCTGGCATACACTGCAAGTGAATATGCCATATTCGTTGCGGAATATGACATATTTTTGTATCGTGTTTACTGCGTAACACCATACACGTCATAAATGTATTGAAAGCGTGTTAGTTATACAACAGCAAACATTGCAAGTGTTTGGGGATTAAAACCTTTCAACCCGAATTTGTGATATAGCAATGGAATCTTGAGCTCATGAGCATTTTTATCATTGCATAATATAATTTATTTTATAAGTTTATTTGCCGTCTTTTCTTCCCTGGATTCCGCCTACTAAAACTCAAAGGTGAAAAAGTCGAGATGGGACAATTTGATGTCACGCACGTTCAAAGGAAAATGTCATACTGAGCTCAATAGAAATATGTTAAACTCGACCGAATCATTAAATATGGGCTATGAGCATTCTGGACATACCAATTATGATATCAGTTGTTTTGCTCATATCATTTTAGAATGTTATCGAAAGTACCCTAATCAATTTTACAACGTCAAAAAATATTTTCGGAGAAAAGAATGCTAAATGGGACAAATGATAAATACCTGCTGGTCCCAATACATGCATAACAATGCAATTAAACTTAAAATAATGGTACATGGAGTATAGGGGCTACGTCTTCATAGTTTTGACTTTCAAAAAGATAATAAGGGCCTAAGGTACTGTGTTTGTTTGTCTTTTTGAGTTTTACACATTTTTACCATTTCTTGGGCATCCAAGATGGCGGATATGCGTTGGTGACGTCACAAGATTTCATTAGACCTTTGGCAAATGTTGCCCCATACCAAATTTGAGGTGACTTGGATGAGGAATAAAAAGGTTATGACCAAATTACCATATTTTAAAATCACTAAATGCAACGTTTTACATGGTTAAATGAGCACTTTAAAATTCAATGGAGTTCTGAGCGTTTCTTTCAAAAAAGGAAAAATAAAAATTGAATATTATTGTAACATATATTTTTCATATCAATTAGCTGTGTTTTGATATATAACATGGTATGTATCATGTTAAAAGCATTGTTGAATTGAAGAGTCTCCCAAAAATAGACGTACCATTTCTAGCTGGTATTTCTGTAAATGCACATGAGATCAGGACATAGTAGGAATGCTGTAAGGCCAAAATATAATTATTGGGTTAACATTTTCAGTTATCGATATACGGTTTCACAAATGCATTTCAATCAATTCCTTGAATATGTAATGAATAATAGTGCAGTGCTCTTTCCTCAAGAATTTCTTTTTGTGAAGTTCAATCAATTAAAAATATTTATTTGGCTATTGGAATGCGTGCGAATGTGAAACTAATGTTTATTTCTACTTTGGTTCAGCCTTAGTAGTGGTTTGCAACAACAATTTTTGGATAACTCGGCACACGGTACGTTATGGCCAGGTGACCTCAAAAAGTGCGCAAAATAACAACATTTCAGAAGTTGACAGTCTTATCTTAATAAATCGTGCTGTGTGGGAAAACATCTCAAGCTTTGTAGTCACCATAACACAATGGATGCTATTTGTGCTACAAACAAGATATTAAGAGATTCTTAAGTTGGTTTTAGTACAACTTTAATATGTGCATCTGGCCAATCTCTAGTTGGGCCAAATACAAGTGACACGAATGTTTCACACGTGTAAGAATAATATAGCTACACAGTTTTATATTATGACAGTTGAGCCTTTCTAACTCACTGTTGAAATCGCAGAGGGGTTCACCTCGTTTGAATGAATCACGTTTTTCTTCAGCGCTTTGCGATAATCCTTGTTCATCGTGAATATTAGAATTGGGTTTACTGTTGAGTTGATGAACGCCATCCATATCGATGCTTCGTAGGCTTTCAATGGGATACAATCTGGACAAAAAGCCTCTATTGGCCAAAATAAACAGAACGGCAACCAACAAACCAAAAAACAAACAATTACTATGCCCAACATTTTGGAGAGGCGTTTTTCTTGTTTAATGCGTTTCTGTAGCAACGCTTGGCTGCTTATTGACTTGATGTTTCCAATGGTACCCTGTACTTGAAAATGATCGCTATCCGAGCGTGTTTTTGGAGCTATCGCTTCGTTCTCCTCTCTGCTTGCCGAATGTGTTGCAAATGTTTTTGAGAGTCTGGACCCCTTGAACATATGAACAGTTCTGGAGTAATAATACACCATGATGATAACTGGTATGAAGTAAACGATGCACGATTGGGTTATTATGTAGTCTCTAGAAGGCAAAAATAGACAATCCGTTTCGTCAATGTCCCCGTCAAATGTACTCTTTATTCTGAAGTACAAAATAGCAGGTAGCCAGACCAAAATTCCGATGGCCCAAATAGCGGTAATGTGTTTCACAGACTGCTTAGAATTTTTCCTTTCCTCAGCATGGTATCCCAAAGGGTCGTTGATGGCTTTGAAACGCTGGAAAGCGATGACATCAAGGTGCAACATAGATACGGTGCAGCAACAGTAATCAAATATTACCCAAATGGTGCAGGCGGTACTACCAAGAGGCCAATAGCCATATATGGTGTAAACAGCCATCGCTCCCATGACAATGAATCCAACAAAAGTGTCTGCGAATGATAAAGATGCCAAGTATATGTTAGTTACTGTTTGAAGCTTTTTAGTTGTCAATACCGCTGTTGCAACCAAAATATTCATTATAATTGTGAGCAAAGATATCGCTATTAGGATCCCCAGTATCACTGGCCATAAGTCCAACATTATGACGAATTATACTTGGCTCGCAATCTCTAACAAATTGACGTTTTCTATGTATCTGATTTTGTCGTTCTATCTGCGCTAGTTGCTACCTGTACAATCAATACTAGCAAATCCTGCTTCATCGCATAGCCTATCATTCTGACGAAAAAACAAATAACAATACAGCCATAAAGGCGATGATTAGATATTTGAGATATGTGTGGTTTTTTCTGTATTACTTTTTACATAAAAAAAAAACATTTACAAAAAACTACTTATGATGCGTTTTATGAGCATATTTATCCAAGGAAAAGAATTGGATTCCCAAATATACAGAATGTTGGATTGCATAAAACGTCCCAATCTAGTCTAATAGACTGTGTGATCAATTTGATTACAAACCCTCATTTTATTCTAAATAAGAGGGGGAATAACCACAGGGTTCATATTTCTATAATTCATATTTCTATAATTAAAATCTGTATTGTAAATGCTACTCTGTTAAATTGCAGGTAGATAATGGAATAGCAATAATAAAGGTATACAATAAATACATCACTGATAGTACCCCAATAGAGGAAAAATAAAATGATTGTTAGTGTATAAACCCCATGGGTGTATAATTATCATGTATGGCAGACATCATGAAAAACCATGGCCTTTTATTAGTTTCGAATGCAAACGATCGGTAGGGATATATGGGACAATTTACGACAATTGATATTTTAAAAATCTGTCGTACTAGAGACTGCGACATATATGACATTTGTTGATTTCATGGACATGCAATGTGTTATTTTTTGTTGACCAGACTTTAAGCAATCATTACCACAAGGTACCTGTTTGAAATATTGCTTATCTTAAAATATCACTTTAATGATGGATTTTTAGACAATTAAGAAATATTTTATTTTTTCGGCAAATATAAACTCGGATTTCTTAACCTAAAATGTATCGATTGCGTTGATATTTTGAAGCATATTAATAAAATGTATGTGCTACCAACTCTTGAAAGCGGGATATTTGATATGTCTTGGTCACATAATTAAGTATGCTTTACTATATGTATACGATTTGTCAAATATTTGTATCCTCCAACACATCGGCCATATTAATGTAGACTATTGATGCATTATTTTGGTGAAAAATATGCCAAAAGGTACATTTTGATGACATATCTTCGATTGCAGACAATGGAGATATATAATTGAGTGTAGGAATTTCTATCGCGAATTCAAGTTGTCTAGATAAGGTTGTCCAATATTTTGTATCCTCCAAACATTAAAATATCGTTTTTGGGAAAAATATTTTTAGATTATTATTTTGAGAAATGAAAGTACTTAATAAAAGTGTTAAGATCATCATTATTTAATTTTTGAATTATTTGAATTGTCTTTGTAAAATTTTATTAAGCATGTGTTGGAGGATACAAAATGACTTTAAAATTATTTGAAATATAAACGTACAATCAAAAGTTAGTTGTATTCGTATTGTTATGTTAATATTTAAATTACAGCAAAGAATGAGTCATTGTCAATCCAAGAAACAATATATTTCACTCTCAGTTTCACATATGATCATGTTATAACTTTGTTGGAATAGCGATGCATGTAGGCTTTACATTTCTTTCGAACATGCTATGCTTTCTTTTTATTTCCATGACCGACACATAACCATACACCTTTGAATGATGTTTCTCATGGGCATTTACGACGAAGTCTAACAAAGTTTCGTATCAGTAACCACAAATTAAAAATAGAAACGGGTAGATACGAACGCCCAAAATTAAAGATCGATGAAAGAATTTGCGAGGTTTGCAATTTAATAGAAAACGAAAAACACATAATGCGTTCATGTAAAAAATACAGTATATATAGAAAGAAAATGCTCGATAAACTTGTATCACACGGCAACCCAATTAAACACCTTTTCAACATGGAGGACGATTCACTTTTTTTCCAATATTGTATGTCTTGTGAAAATAAAGAAATTGAAATTGTAGCAGAATTTATTCATAAATGTAATATAACATAGAAGGGTGTGATATATGACATAAACAATGGACGCGTATCACAATCACCATTCATGTGCTTATCCATGATGCATATTTATTTGTTCATTTATTTACTTATTTATTTATTATGAAGTGTTAATTTTGTGTGTTGTTATATATACTGTTTTCTGTTGTATTGATATATTGTAAAATTAGTGTTTACTTTGTGTACACTTAACCTTTTATGGGTATGAATGTGTAATAAAGTTCATAAATCTGAAATCTGAATCTGCCCTCATTGCCCAAGCTGTGTGTTTTTTTGATGATATCATATTTTGAATGCCGTTTGTCGTTCCCTATGATGAATGTTTGGCCTTTACCAGAAATGATAAATGTTGCTTGCGCATCTTAGTCATTGTAAGTGCCAGAATGCTTTTATATCGATTCCAATGAAAATAAGTGCATCCATTGCAATTTTTAATACTTAACATGCAATATGAGCAACATGTCCGTAGTCAGGTTTTATTAGGGGGATGGGGGGGGGCTCGAACCCATCCCTCTGCCCACACATAAAAAAGTTCCATGCTAAACCAACACCTGGGGCGACCCTGAATTTGAAGAAAGTTGAAATCTCAAATCTAAAGTCAGATTTGAACTTCTGATAACTTGTAGATGATTTGGAAAAAGAATTGGTCAATTTAAAGCAAGTTTAAAAAATACCTTTTTGAGCCTTTTTAACCTTAAGAAGGTCAATGAAGGTCAAATCTCAAATCTAAAGTCAGATTTGAAATTCTGATAACTTGTAGATAATTTGGAAAAAAATTGGTCAATTTGGAGCAAGTTGAAAAAATATATTTTTGACCTTGAAAAGGTCACCGAAGGTCAAATCTTGAAGATCAAATAGAAAGAATAACGTTCAAGATCGCACGAGCCCCCAATCCCCCCCCCACACACACACACAGCCTGGCTAAGGGCCTGACTAATATAAAGAAAGACAAAATGTGTGTGCGTGTTATTTGGAAAAATAAAGAATCCCAGTAACTTAAAATCATGATGGTCATTTCTAAAAAGCTCTTTTAAATTTGACGTAATCAAAAGCTACGAAAACCTTTAGTCTCCTGTTTAAAAAGCCCTATTCTTCACTAAATTGGTTAGCTTCTAACTAGAGTTTGCTCAGTAACATATTTCTCCTACTTAAAAGAATGACCAGAATAGTAAATCAAATAGCATAGAATAGTATCTTAAAGTGTGCGCCAAAGTTTAAAACTGCGCAGGCGCAGCGCTCTCGCTAACCTATATAAAGAGATTACAGGGTACAGGCTTCAGAGGTAAGCCAGGAAGGTGAACAACTATCGTCCCGTGTTGATTTCCCGTATAATCGTAACCAGGCAAGTTTCACCATTGGAATTGAAAATGACTATTAGATATACTATGTAGATGTTTATATATGAAGGTATTAAGTGTATGCATCAATCAAATGGCTCATTTTGAACATATAAAAAGTATTTGTGTTTTGTTTCCCAGGGAATTGTATTCCCATGTTGTACACACATAAATAGTGTACATTATGTTGTACTTGAATAGCCTGGCTTATATAATATTGAAGGGCATGCTGATTGTACACACGAGTACATGCATGAAGGCCAAATATTGATATTGCTTGCATACCTAAAGTAAAAATAAACTCTTCTAATCCCCTAATGTAAACACGGCGGTATACGTAGCCTGATTTATCGGGGGCTTTAAAAGATACTTCTGGTGGAATGCGCATCGTTTTTTTTACGAAAACTAAGACTTTACTTCATCATCTTACTTTGATAATGGCTGAAAATGATATAAATCGTATGGTGCATCTGCCTTTTTTTCTCCACTTAGATGACTACTTGGAGGAACATAATTTTGAAAATTTACTTTTTGACGCTAGAACTGATAATGCAATTGGTTCAAATCCAAATGGAACTGAAAACACACCATTAGATATCCATACCCAAAAATTAATGAATTCTTGTAAATACCAGTTTCCAATTTGAAATCAACAAAACACAATGATATGGTTTTTTTTTTTTTTTTTTTAATATATTTATTTATTCACAGTAAAACATTTTGTTTACAGTATATTTGATTTCTTAGTCACTTATATAAATACATAATACTTATTGATTATGAATGGTACGGTGATATGGTTATTAGGTGTGCAAATGTAAGGAGCTTGCCTCATAATTTTTCAAAATTTACCAATTTAAATGTTTTGACTGATAATCAATTTGACATATTTGGTGTTACTGAAACTTGGCTTAAAGAGAGCAATGAGTCAGATTTCAACATAGACGGATTTAACTCTGAATTTATTTCTAGAACTGCAAGAACAGGTGGTGGAGTTGGCATTTATATTAAGAAAAATATTGTATATAAAACAAGAGATGATTTGATTATAAGAAATGATTATGATATGCAGGCAATAACTATTGAAATTAATAAGGAGAATGATAGAAATACTTTAATAACAGTTGTTTACAAACCTCCTGATGTCGATCTTGAAATATTTAATCGCGAATTAAGCCAATTTTTAGGAATACTTTCACAAGAAAACAAAGATATTTTTCTTATGGGTGATTTTAATATCAATTTACTAAACACAGACCATGCAGGAACGGACAATTTTTTGAACACTTTGTATTTCTTTAACCTTTATCCTACCATTTATTGACCTACTCGAGTAACATCAAGAACAGCCACACTTATAGATAATATTTTTACAAACTCATTAAACATTAACAAATCTGGAATTATAATGACTGATATTTCAGATCATTTTCCTATTTTTGCAGTAACAGATTTGCCACTTAATTTACAAATTACAGAAAAAATTCATTTTCGTTTAATGAAAAAAAAAAATCATGATGACTTTAAATCAAAGATAGAAAACATTAATTTTGATGATGTATTAAAGTGTACAGATGTGAACATTGGGTATGACCTATTTATTCAGAAAATTTTGATAGTTTACAATGAATGCTGAATGCTTCCC